TTGTTTTAGGGATGGTACATAAGATCATAAGATGTAGAGCTGGTGTCAAAATTTAGTATGATGATACAGGGTGTCCCACGAAACATGATTCTTCCATAATTTGAGAAGTTGTTTGATACTAAAGAGACTAATAACATTTTTTATATAACTGTTATATTATAGTAAAATTGATTTCACAGTAAAATATATATGAGTTAAACATTTTTTTAAAAGAAATAAACTGCAAAAAGTCTTAATAATATCTAATACAGTATGTGGAAGAAGACATTCAAAACTATTCACCAACTGTCATGGTTTGTGGGACACCCTGTAAGTAACTAATAAGATAGGTACTTTATTGCACTTTACACTCTACACTTTGATGAAATGCATACTTTATTTTAAGGATTTTAGCTTACAAACTACATAGCTTAGTTTGTATTTGTATTTACGGATTTAATTTCAATTTTTTACATGAAATAATTTTTGCTGGAATTTAGACTTTTAAATAAATAAATGCACGATAGCACTACCGTGTTTGTCGATGTTTAAAAGCGTTTACATATCTCATATTAAAATCCGACATTTCTTTATACATGGTACTTCCAAAGAATAAAATATTGCTTTTCCATTTTGATCGATGTATCAGCGAAAATTAAGAATGAGGATACAAAACAGTCCCTTTGCATACACAGATCAATAAGTGATCTGGTTTCTATGCGGGATATACATGAATTGAACGTTCGAATTGTAGGGACGTTTTTTAATAAATAATTTTATTCTTTAATGCCCTCAATTTGTCTCTATACATGGACGTTTTTGTTCTTAGGTTCGTTTCTATCCAGCCTCGGACTCGGATTCTCCTTCCTATATAGATTAGTTATATTTTTTATCCTGGTTACCCCATTAGGATGCAGATAGAAAGATAGCCATGGAATGTTGTTTCGTTTTAAAAGAACGGCACATTTAAAAAGAAAAATAGCCAACAAAATATAGAAAAATGAACAATAGAACTGATTAAAGCGTTAGTCCAGCAAACTGTAACCAAGGGTGTAATGCAAGGAAAGTTAATTGTGGTCGGGTATACTCTGCGTACACATTGAAACCAGTTATCTTTGGGCGGAATTTGTAAACAAGAATAGATGCATCAGTGTTCGTTTAGTATTCGAGGAGGTTAAAAGCATTAGATTTTGATAATTTTGATAATTCACATAATAGTTTTATATGACCAGAATATTTCATTGATTTTTTATGTGAAAGATGGATCCCATGTCAGCTTCGACATCCGTCTTGTGTTTACAGTACCGCCCAGAGACAGTACACTGCAGTACAAAAGATGTGTACACTTCTGAAATAACTTTCCTTGCATTACATCCTTGACTGTAACAATCCATACTTTGATATCTTTCATCACGGTCGATGTTGAAATAAACAGAAAGAGAAAACAATTATTCTTTAAAAAAAACACATAATGGCGTCCTCAGCTTTTTAGCATTCATTAAAGCAGTAAAATAAGCGGAAATAAGCTGGAAGAAAAATTATTTGAATTCATGCATTGCACAATTTGCAAAGAATGTGCAATCCTTTAAACGGTCCTTGGAGATGAAAACCATAAGAATAGTTTCAAAATCCAAGTATGTGGCGCTTGCAAGGTTTGACATTATGTTTTCCGACCCACGAATACGATACGGAATAATAGGTTGTCAAGAAAGGGTGAACCTTTAATGACACGGCAAAATAAGCTTTGCATATGATCTCTTTAAGTTGAAAGGAATTGAGTCTTTGTCACAAATTCAAATTTTCTAATCCCTATTTCTTTGCAACGTGATGACGTTTTAAACTTTGATTATTTGATCTAATAGAATTCATAATTTAAAATATCTAAGGTCTTCTACATTGGGTTACTAATATATAGGGATAAGAGTTTGCAGCAAAGACTCAATTCCTTTACGAAAACATTACCAAATTATTTATCACAGTCTGAATAGTCGTCTCTGTATAGTCTATTGTACACTGTACAGCGGTCGTCGTGTATAAGGGTACAATGAAGAATGCTTTCTATTTAAAGGGAGTATTCGCGAAAAATGAAAGGGGGTATAGGCTTAATGCGATAAAAAAGCGCTTTTGATCGACTGAATGATTTGTTTGAAATTAAATTGATATTTTACGGTCCAAGGTTGGGGTAAGTAGATCTATGGTCGTACCGGCACGACATGCTGTATTCCTACAAAAGGTTTTTGATTCACATCTAAACGCCACTAAAAGAGGTAAAGTTTTAAAACTTTTAAAGCAATACTCTAAACTTTAACATAAAACATAGAATTAGTAAATTTAGTTAATTTTTGAAGGTTTTTTATTTCGTATCCAAAGGATCCTAAAATATTGCTCAAGATATATGTCTTCTAATTGGGCATGAACTCCAGTTGTACACAATGGAACGCGTTGTAGAAAATATCATATATTCCAGTGTTTAATAGCTAGATCTCTGGTATACTCTCTTTATATCTGATTTTACTGTGACGTATCTGGTTGCTCTAGAACCGGTTTAATGAAAATCAACAACAGTTAAAGTAAACAAGCCGAGCATTTTTATACCCTTTCCAGGACAGTTCTGACCTTTGTCTGAAATCTTTTGATATTGTGCTTTAAAAAAATAATTTTTTCACATACGTTACAATAAAATGTGTACACAAACCCAATCCCCCTACCTTTTTTCATTTTCTCTGTTGGTTTATCATGCATTGAAGGTGAATGCATCTCTAGATTGAAGATGATAACATGTTTTCATTTAAATGATAATATTCGAGAGCATGGAGTAGTTCTACTGTTTTAGTGTCCTAAGCATAGTGCTTAATTATAGATTAACTGAAGGATAAAGGGTTAAACTTAGACTGGGTAGATTAGAACTCACTTCATACATACACACAAGCTAAGGGTGTGCAAATAAACATGGAATTAATATACAGAATCAATAACTTTGGTTTATCTAGCCATTTATTGTACAGTCATAACAACTAAAAGTCGTCTTTATTCAGGTTTTTAATTTTCGGAACCAACGAACCTTCGTTTTCATAAAAACGGAAGGGTTAAGCTACAACGAACGGTCAGTTTTGAACTTTTGAACAAAATAACTATATACATGAATATAATAGTTTACTTAAACAAGATTGTTTTTGTACATTTTTCCATATGAAAATTTATTTATTTTTAAATATATGCAGTAAGCTAGTTAAGTGCTGTTGTCTTTGTATTTTTATGTTTTGAACTTTGGATATTTTGAATTATCAGAAGCAGCTTGTTGTTCTTGTTGTAGAATTCATAAGAATTAGTATGAAATGAAAAACTAATTATTTTGGGAATCCTATGACTTCTTAAACTCTCATAACTGGCAATAAAAGACGAAAAATGGCATTATGTAAAAATATACCTGTAAATGTATGGAACTATGCATATAGAACATTTTTATGCTACCTACTTTAGATAAAATAAAAAAGGATATCAGGGAAACAACCCTATATTCGTTTATAATGTGACTTCAAGAGCGCTTCGCATGTATATGTTGCTTTTCAATCGGCCATCTTTCTTCGTAATTTTAAAACTCAAAATTTGTAGGATTTCTCTGTAAATATTGATATGAAAATTGACATTTTGTCATTAAAAATTGGCCTTTTTTCCTGGTAAAATGATTTACTCCAAACTTTCCATAAGCCATCTCTGAGATCGTATGAGATTGTCACAAAATATGTGTACCCAATCAGCTTAGCCGTTTAGACGTATTGGATACAAACAGACCAAATCCAGAACTGCAAATTCAGAAAACTTCGTAAACAACGAACTTCGTGCTGCTAAGTTTTATGATGCATAATTTATTGTAACTATAGAAAAGAAATGGGGTTCCCTATGTATCCACCTTAAAACTTTATATACATTTTTGTGAAGTGCAGCATATACTGTACATTAAATATAAATACACTCCAACTTTGTTGAAATTTCGATTTTCATTATTTACACAAACAAAAATGTTTTCTGCAGTCAATTTTGAATTTATGTAAGTATTAATTTTATGGTCAAAATGACATATTAAATTAATGTTTGTTTATTTTGTGCAGTACGCTTTATAACGTCGTAAGCAGTACGATTCTGCGCTTAGTAGTGTAGAGGAAGTCTTTACAATTTACGTTAAGAAAAGACCTCCTCAGTTACTTCCTATTCCTATTCCAATTCCCTGGTTACTTTAGACTAAACGGGAATATACGCTGTTAATGACAATTAATAAAAAGAAAATATCTATATAGATATCTTATTTTCAACATTAAATTGTCTTTTAGTATTTGAATTTCACATTGGGAGCTTTCCTTAGTTATGAAAGCACAAATATTAAAAGAGGTGACGAGAATAAATTTCGTAGAAACAAATTCTGTCAATTTTTTTTATGAAAGCTTTATTATAAAAGAAAATACGAAAACCTAATCTAGCAGCTACCTAAAGTTCGAATCTTAGCTCGGTCTTATACTTGGGTGTAAATAGACGTTAAAACGGGGTTTACTCGTGTTTTAAAATTTAAACGCTTACATTCTTCTTTTTTACGATATTTTCTGAGCTTTTGTCGCCTTATATTTCAATCCTTGATGTAAAAACTGTCAATTTCTTTAACAATATATCTGCATCTACGCAAATGTTATACCTGATAGAAAAATTACTTTCCTTTTGTGGTAGATGGGTTTATACCTTGAAGAACATCAGCCCCTTTCATTGTTAAAACAGACACTGAACACTGAACAGGGATGGGTTTATACCTTGAAGAACATCATTTCATTGTTAAAATAGCAGACACAAATGGCAAAAATTGGATGGCATTTGATGCAAATTACATAATATTTTTCAAATAGATACAATTTATTGAATACTGTTTCCTAAATTAATTATTTTTCCAAAAAATTTGTTCTTGGGATAATGTTAGGTTAGGAAGTTTTTATCAAGAAAGCAAATATATCACAAAATTTTCATATCTTACAATATTTCAGTGGTTAGATTTGAGAACAAGAAGAGTATTGAGAGCAGTTCATCCAGTATTACGACAAAATATTGAAGATATTGATTCCAGTATATTTCAATGGAGTTTGTTCAAACCAATTAATCCAAGACAACTAATACAATTCTCACTAGATGTTGGACGAATTGAAGGTAAAGATGTTATTCTATAAAACATATATGTCTGTTAGAAATATTATTTATAAAAAATACCATTTTTTCTCATTTAATTCAGAACTGTCTCTTCTCAAGCTGTGTAATTTATTAATCTTTAAAACATTTAATTAGTAAAAAGTACATGCGAAAAAGTTAGTAAACATATTATATATCCTTGTTTTGGGCCTGTAAAGTTCGTTTTACCGATAAAATGCATCCCGAACCTGCACTACCCGTAGTCGAGGCTTTGAGCCAGTAAATTTGACATTGCATTGCAGGAAAAACTAAATCCGGAAATATGTTTATGATTTAGGAAAACATTTTTTCCATAGTCCTTTCCAGGATTGACTTTTGTTGATTATAAAATCTTGTTATAGGATTATATATTGCTGAACTGAGGGGCAGAGAAGATATTAATGCAAGTCTTGAGATTATATCAAGAAACCATAGTGAGCTACTCAGTGTAAGAATTGGAAATTCGATTGAATTATCGGATACTGGGATTTCTGCTTTACTTTCAAATCCAAGCCTTCAACACCTGGAATTGGAAAATACAAGTATGACTGGAGAAACCCTAGAAGAAAACCTGAGTTACTCGTCAAAACTTAGAAGTTTAAGCATTAAATGTTCGTCACTCAACGACAAAGGACTACAAAAACTTCTCAAAATTTGTAAAAACAATCTTAATCATCTAAATGTCAGTGGGTGTAATATTTCTGACAGCGGCATTCTTCACACTTTTTATTCTTGTGAAAATTTAAAATCTTTTAGTTTCGGTCCAACCTCAGCAGAAATAGACTGTGTATCTCTAGTCCAATACACAGGGAAATGTAAGATAAATGATTTAGACTGTAGTTATTGTTATAATCTTGCTGATATTGGGTTGCACCAATTGCTTAGAATTTGTGGTGAAAATCTGACATCTTTAGATTTAACTTTTACAAAAATATCTGGAGAAATAAAAAGTATTATTATTCCTAATCTGGTGAAACTTAATTGTAGTATGTGCAGAAATTTAACTGATGAAGGACTTTCCTGTCTTATAAGTAAGTGCAGTCAAACATTAAATCATCTTTATATTACTCACACTAAAATTTCTGACAACTTTTGGAGCAGTTTCAAATGTCGTCTTCCATGTATTTCAATTCTAAATCTTCATCAATGTAAAAGTTTTACGGACATTGGACTATTGCATGTATTTAATATTTGTGGCGAAACATTGAAATATCTCAACATTGGATACACAATGGTGTCTGGAGATATAAAAGCTAGGAACGAGATTCTCTCCTCCATACAAACACTAGACTGTGTCGGATGTTCTAAGCTGGCAGATTCTGGTTTGATAAACCTAGTTCAAGTTTGCTCTAGGAGAATGAAAAATCTAAATATTGGAGAACATGGAGGAAGAATCTCTGAGAAGTGTTTACAACAACTAGAAAATATGAATTTAAACCTTCTAATTATAAAGAATTGTTGTGGTTAATTATATAATTTTAAATAATAAAATAACATTACTTCATGAAGTTATTTGGAAATTTAAAACAAAATATTGTTTAATTCTTATCACAGTTAGCATTTTACATCAACTTCATTTGTGATTTTACTTATACAGATGACGACCTTTTAAAGTCGTCATCTTAAAGTGTCATATTAACGATTTATTTGTTCATTTGTATTTGTTGTCTAAATTGTTTGTACACTATCTTTTTAAACATTTCAACGTTTAAATAGTTGAAAACGAGGTTTGAATAAGTTGAACAATTTCGTTGTTTACCTCTGAAATCAGAAATGTGAAATAAACAAAATATTCAGAACTTTAGAAATTTATTTCTTTGTAATACTATTTCTAATATAATTTATAAAATAAAAATAAGAAATAAGAAATAATATGTGTTTCTCATATCAAGCTAATCTTGTTTATGTATTAGTTATAGCTATAAATAATGACCCTTAAGGGCAATTGGCTTTTATTACATTAACTCCAGCTCAGTCATAGAAAACAAGGAAACTTTCTTAATTGAGCAACCCGCTGAGAATGGTAGACTAAAGTAAAATGATTTTTCGAGACATGATTATGAGTTATGAGTTATGTTAGAAATACGTAAAGTATATTCATATCAAAAAACATTCATAGAAAACAAGAAACTCTCTTATTTTTCCTCAGTGCGTGCAGTATATCATGGTTTAATTAAATCAAAATTTGAGCAGCCAGCTAAGAATGCTAAAATAAGAAAAAATGTACATTTTACGAGACATGATTATGATTTATGAATTAGGATAAAAAAGTAAAGTACAGGGTGTCCCACGAAACAGGACAGTTAGTAAATAGTTTTGAATGTCTTCTTCCGTAGTTTGCTAGGTTGTTTGATACCAAAGAAAATAATAAAAGCATTATTTGGAGAAAAAGCAACAGATTTTTTTTAACGAAATAAACTGCAAAAAGCCTTTAATATCTAAACAGTATATGCATGTGAAGACATTCATAATTTTTATCAACTGTCATGTATTGTGGGACACCCTAGGCATTTATATTTATAAATACTATTACAGGAATCACGCCCATCTTTCTTTGGTCAGTATAGTTTAATATTTGTTTACTAAATATATCATAGATACATTGCATAACTATCAAAAATTCAAGCAATATAAATTGCTTCTTTAGCGGTATTCCTTCTCTACAGTGGCGTAGACAGGGGGGGGCAGTAGTCCTCTTGTCCCACCCCTGGGAGTTCCATTGGGAGGCCCCCCTTAGAAAATGCAAAATTATAAGGAAACTTCCTTTAAAAAGTAACACCTGGCAATGACAAAGACCAATTATTTGTCTAAATTCACTGTTAATACAAACTTTTAAGATACTTTAAACTAAATTAGATAAATGTCGTCCTTACTTAGGTCGCCCTACGGAGTACGGAGTCACTCTGTCACTGTCGGTCATAGAGGAGGTAGAACTATAGAAAGCGCGAAATTTATAGTAAACATTTACGTAATACATGTAAAGGAATTTGAAATTGGTTAAATGTGTTTAAAACGTAAATATTTATGTAAAAATTTAAATTTTTTGGTCCTACGCAAATATTTGTTTTAACCCACATTTTGATCTATTTTATAATTTGTCATATAATCTATATAAACTCTTTTAAAAGAAAAATAAATTGTAATTTTCGAAAGAACACTTTTTTATTTTTGGACCCCCCCCCCTTACCCCTTTTATAAATTGTCTACATAACTTAAAGCGATCACTTGAAGTCAAAGTCATATCTTTAAATTTAACAAATATGTTTACTATTGAATGTTATTTATTAAAAGTTTAGGAGTTGCAGAGTAATTCAAATAGAAAATGTCTGAAAAGCGAAAGCTTTGCAATTAGGTTTCAGCTTTTTATTCTGATGCAGAAGGAAACATACTTTTAAGAACGACATTTGGTTCATGATATAATCACATGGATCTCTAGTTGTTCCATGTATAATCAGATATATTCAAATTTCAAGTATATAGTCGATCTGATGGAGTCAAAGGAACCCACCCCTGACCCCTCCTCATTTCCCTCATCGCATAAACAATTAGAAGATATCAAGATGGGGCTAAGTTGGATAATTAAAAAAGTAAGTTTTCACAAACAAATATTCAGTACGTATTTCATTTTTAAGAAGTAAATGCGAAATGACGGCTAATACCCCCGCCCCCCCCCCCTAAATTTGGCTCCTTAACACCCTAAAATCTAGACTGCCTTTATTTCTCTGTACCTACAACACTTGAACCGTAAACTTAATTAGTAAAGTTACACCCCTCCCCCTCTGTCTAACCCGTTGCCCCTCTCCAACCCCCTCTCTTACCCAACCCGTCAACCCCCTCCCCTAAACCAACTAGCCTAGTCGAATGAAAGCCCCCCCTCTCTTGTCCATGGCGCCAGTAGATCTGCCCCCCCTTGCCCCTCCCCTACCACCCCCGACACTGATGTCTGAAGACTGAAGTCTGAAACTCTAGTCCAGTCTTAATCACACAATCCTCGTGTAAACGCTGTAAAACAAGTGAACAAGTGAACTAAGAATTAGAAATATAGAAAGATAGAAAATTGCAAGGTGCAGGTTTGCGCCGTCTTTCGATATTTAGGTAAAAACATATAAACGGTTTTAACTTTTTTTTGTACGGATAAGGATTGTTGTCCTAATAATATAAACTTAAATGTTTATTTCAAAATCTGTTTTTCATATTGATTTATACAGATATATTTGTTGTGTTTTTTTATATAGATTTCTTTGTTGTGGTTTAATTTAATAGTTTTCTTCGCGTTCGTTAAAAAACAAATTTTCAATTCCAAAATTTCTTATCACACATCACATTGAATGGGTAATTTCCTAGTATACGATTTTTGGACCCCCCCCCCTTACCCCTTTTATAAATTGTCTACATAACTTAAAGCGATCACTTGAAGTCAAAGTCATATCTTTAAATTTAACAAAATGTTCCCTAATATCGATCCCGCTGCATGACGTCTTACAACATAAATTTGCATTTGACCAAGCCTTAAGTTCATGAACAGTATTAGCGTATCATCTGAGAAGTACAGATTTGGTTGAATTTTGTAGTCCCTTGCTCATTAATGATTGGACTATTTCAATCGTAAACATATTATTAGTATGCAGAATATTACATATACATATTACAATATTACATGTTTTGATATTTGAATCATGAACTTTTTCTTCATAGGGTATTATTTTCATTTTACTGTCCCCCCTTCGTTTCCTACACCCCCTGACAAAAAAAATATTCACCCCTGACAAGTGTTTTGCATCTTTTAAAATGATGATAACTGTTATCTAAGACCTAACCCTGAATTTAGTTGTGTGGGAAAGCCTGTAAACCGGTTTTTATAAAGCTGCCTAGTGCCTGACTGCTTGACTGCCTGACTGGCTGGTCTTGCTTCAATATCAGTCTTATAATTCTTTGCACATTTGACAACAGGTCTCCACCAGCATTTATTTGTGTACAGTACACTGTACTTAACTGATAAATTGTACTTAATTCCTTTAAGTTCATTTAGTTCATATTGATGATTATCTATGTGATCTCTCATTCAAATTTACAAGTTTCATATCCATATGTGTATATATATTACGCACAGTACACAAGACTATAGTTCATAGTTACAGTTTACATTTACCTGCAGCTTGAAAAAACAGATCAGAGTTACAGTTTACATAAGGCTATGCTAGTTCATGAATAAATATACACAAAACTAAAGTTCGTATATTTAGAATTTTACAATTTACAGAACAGAATAGTTACAGACGTCTATAGTTCATACTATAGAACTTTAGAATGGTGGATATCGAGATCAATGCTTGATCCTCTCTTTTTTTTAATCTCGTGACTAACCTAATCTTGTACTTTTATTCTGAAAAGTGTAGAAAATTCATCCAATCAGAGTCGCATATCAAAAGCCGGGAAATTCAAAAGGTTGCACGCCATTTAAGATTAATATATAAAAACGGGGGACTCCTTAATTTTAAAAAAACTGGTTTTTGATTTTTATGTTCTATATCAAAAAACGATTGAATTAAGCAAGAAAATATAAGTGTCCACATTGGATATTCGGATTATCTGTCAGGATTAAAGGTATTCCAATCTGAAGTTCCCAGCTCAGTTTACATAAGTCAAATTGCGTTAAAATTGATTTAAGTAAACTCGTATTAATATATTTAAAAACTGATAGTAAAAGTGACTCTATTTTGATAATTAATTAGTTACATAATCATAACTCACTTAATTTTTTTTAATTTTGTGGTAGATTAGAACTTTTGAATAGTAATAGAAAAGGAATAATATTTTTTAAAGTTAAATTGATAATGCACTTGTTGAATGCTTTTAACAATCTATTTTTAATTTTCAATCATATTTCTGACAGGGAAGTTTTATCTAAAGCATTTAAAACTTTGATTAAAAAACTTGGAACTTTTAATTCAAAATAAATATTTCAAATAGTGTACCAGAAAGACAGCGAGTTTTTATATTTAAGGCAAAATAAAAACGTATAAGGCAACAAAATATAAGAAAACTAGAAACAAATGATATTTGCTCTGGTCCTGTTAAACGGTTTTAATGCTCACCTGTGTACACTGTAATGCAGTTTATGTTAAGAGTGTACACTGTACAGGTCCCCGCGCAGAATACTACACTCGATACACTGTATGTATACAGAGCTGAAAACTTTAGAATGGTGGATATCGGGATTAATGCTTAATCCACTCTTTTTCTTAATCTCGAGATTAAATGTTGCTTGTTCTCCTCTCATTTTTAATCTCCAGATTAATTTTCCGATCAGGATTAAGGATATCCCATTCTAAAGTTTTCAGCTCTGTACACTTTTACACATTGTACATTGTTGAACGAAACTACTGATTTTTCTTTTTTGGGTCTTAACATTTGGGTAGATTTTGATTTATGACTGAGATTCGGAAAAAAATGAATAACAAAAATATTGATATCCATTAAACTGCCTAACCCGATTCGTGAAACCCGGGCTCTAAAGCTGGTTTCCATAAATATACCCTGTCTTAAGTTTTGGGCTCTGAAGTAAGCCCGAAAAAGTTTGATAGCCGTACACATTCTAATAAAAATGTATATTATTGATTAGGAGAATATTTGAAGAATGACGACGTTGAACTCTCTTTTCTCCTTCACTAGTCCAGCAGTTAAACGTCTATTGGGCTGGAAACAGGGAGACGAAGAGGAGAAATGGGCTGAAAAGGTAATTATTTAAAATAGTAATCTGTTTTTTTATTTACTTTTTCTACTCCTCTTGCATTCATTATTTATTTATACAAAAGAGAGATTATTTAAACAAAAGAATAATGCCCTTTGCTAAGCTGTTATCCTTAGATGAGATTTAACTATATTCTATTTAGGCTGTGGATGCGTTAGTAAAGAAATTGAAGAAAACAAAAGGAGCAATTGAAACATTAGAACAGGCCCTCTCCTGCCCTGGACAACCCAGTAAATGTGTTACTATTCCCAGATCTCTTGACGGCAGATTACAGGTACAACATGCAAGATTGTAAACTATTGTTGCATTGCAAAATTAATATGTGCATCCTCAATGGTGCCATTGTGCATCACTATGTAAGTGCGGGATAAATATTAATTAATAACTTCAACAATTGGATCAAAATTGATCGTACAGAGCACTAAGCTTTTTATTGAAACTTTAATGGTAATTTTTAAAAACTTATTCTTGTAAAAACATTTATTATTTTTTAAGTCAACCTTTTCAATATGTACAAGCCTTGGAAGTTGGAAAGAATCTGACAGTAATATGATTTATTCTTTGACTATAGAATTGTATACCATATCCAATTATCCATTTTCCATAGCTATGCAGTATATATTAAACAAACAACATGTGCCCCTTTCTACTACCTCCCTTACCCCCCCCTGGGTCCCACGGTCCCACCTCTACAATATTATCCATTTTCCATAGCTATGCAGTATACATTTAACAAACAACATGTGCCCCTTTCTACTACCTCCCTTACCCCCCCCTGGGTCCCACCTCTACAATATTATCCATTTGCCATAGCTATGCAGTATACATTAAACAAACAACATGTGCCCCTTTCTACTACCTCCCTTACCCCCCCCCCCCTGGCCCTGGGTCACACCTCTACAATATTTCCTCTCTTGGAGGGTGGGGGGGGGTAGAGGATTAGTGTAAATTTAAACATTTTGTTAAAGTTTCTTTATCATAAAATCTCTTGTTTTTGCGTCTGTGTCAGTATGACAGGAAAAGTCATGCGATGCTTTGTTTGGTTCGTTTGCCCCGCTTTAGGCCAGGAGGGAGGAGAGGGGGTGGGGGTGGGGGTGAGTGGGGATTTTTTTGGGAATGTTTTAGGCTTGATTACACACGGTTTAATGTACTTTCCTTCTAACTCTTTTTGTCCACATCCGGCATCAATTCAAATTAATTATTATTTTTTATGATTTACATTTTCGAAATCCATTTTCCCACAAACATTTTGAGATCACTGCAAACTAACCAGGAGGGAAGGTCAAATTCAATTGATATTACTGTTGCGACTATTTGACTTAGTTACTCCTCTAGTTCTAATTCTACGCTCAAGTATAAGAAAAGCAAATTTATTTAGTTACTTATTATGAATTCCAAACATTTTTGTTCTTCTCAATAGCTCTTTGAAAAGAGGAGTTATGATAAAAAGCATAAAATATTTCAATTTTACTTCAGTTTTACTTTAATTTCTCGATATTATCCTGATTATAACCTGGCTTGACTATAAATATTTAAATAGAGGGTGGAAAGGAGGAGGGGGGGGGGCAGTCCATTCAATTTAATTCCCAGCAGCTCACAGGGATTTAATAACAGTTAAATGTTTAACTGTAGAGAAGGGGAGGGAGTATTAGAGGGAGGGATACGATTTACGATTTAACATTTTTATATTAAACGTTCGGGGTATTTCAAGCGCGTATGCGTTTTCAAAATACTTCCAAAAGAGAAAATTGGCACTGGCGAAACGAAAACGTATAATTTTATCGTACAAAAACTACGTTATTTTTAAGATTTAATTTTTATCATATTTCTCCGTTTGTAACTCTAGCTTTTTAAAATTAAAAACACTTTCTGTTGGAAGTAAATTATATTAATTTCCTCCCAACAGCATGACGAGTTTGAGAATCTTTTAAATAATTTTGATGTTTAATTTAAATATTACTGCAAGGAAAAAAGTTGGTATGAACCCCTCTCAAAGTTTACCATTTCAATCTTTGAGGGACAATTATTTCTCAAGTAAAAGATTTAAAAAAGGAAATTAAAAATGGAACAGTATAGAGGACGTGAGTCAAACTCTAATGAATCGCATAAAGTAACTTCCAGTATATATATTTCTTATAACTTATTACTAGAGGGTTCAGAACATGAGTAAATATCGATATCACACGTGTAGACTTTTAGTACAATGCCCCGTATCCGTTCTATCTCATTCCGTTGAATCTTGTGGGATTTGTTTAATGCGGCCAGGCATCGTCTTCCACAACAGAAACGAAATTGTGGCTATTTTCTTCACGCATTCTTTTTCTAATCCAGTAATCTTTGTGACTTGATATTTCTATCCGTTCTTAAGGCTTTTGGGTTACGTTATAAAATTAGAGTTTGTGTCGAGTAATCAGTTCCTTATCTGGGTAAAGTGTTGATTATAAATAGACATGTAGAAAACACCTCTCCTCCATAACAAGTTCTCTAAATCCAGATCCAACCCGTCCACTATCAAAGTCAACCAGGACACAATCTACAAGGTTGCAATCCCGCGAACTATCAACTCCACTACCACTTTGCGCGATCTCTGTAGCTATCAAACTGAGCTATCAATTCAGGCTCCAAATGCCACACAGAGACAAAAGCGTAGCTATCCAACAAGCTATTAATTCAGTACTCTAAAAGTTACACAGGGACACAAGCCTAGCTATCAAGCAAGCTATATATCGATCCCAAATGATGGGGACGATCCGCTCTAAATGCCACACGGGGACACAAGCCTAGCCATCAAATAATCTTTATATCGATCCCAACCTGTTTTATCAAAACAGGAACGATTACTCTCTCGCAGTTAACAGTACGGAGTTATTCTATAAACTGAGGTTTATTTCTTTAGTTCAGATTAGAATTTGGTCTCTAACAGCGTAATTACAAGTAATGCACTGTTATATATAACGTAGTTTAACTATCACAATATGGGCATGACGGAGTTATATATATATGTACATGGAATGGGTCAATCGCATTACAGGATTTGCGCATTTACTATTTGAACAATATACGACGTAATTTACAATGGGCCTCAATATTTACTACAGACATTAACTTAAAAATCCCGGCACATATATTGTATACATGCTTCTATATATAAAGAAGTAATCTATTTTAATCGTGGAATTTGGTAGAACTAAGAAAATGTTCTTATATCAATATATACATTCTTAATTAAATTGACAGTTGAGTTCCTAGGCGAAGCTTGGTTCCCAATCTTGTGCATTATAAATCTTGTATATTTAGGTGTCCCACAGAAAAGGTTTGCCCCATGTAATCTACTGCCGAGTATGGAGATGGCCTGATCTACAATCTCATCATGAACTCAAACCTTTAGAAATATGCGAGTTCCCATTCACAAGTAAACAGATGGAGGTATAAAACTTTAAATAAATTAACATTGAAATAGCAGTGTGAGAAGAACACCGTATATTTTGTTCGGCATTTCAAATTTAACGAAAGCTTCTCTAAATTACGAACCGAACATTAGGGATACAACAAATTCTGAGATTCTGAACTTTCTGTTCAAAATTCAAACAAAATATTTATCGTTTTCTTAACTTCGATATTTTGAGGAAATGTTTTGTTTTATTCTATTAGGATAGGCAAGAAAATCGTGTATCACACTTTTTACTCAAAAAATTATAAAAATGATTAAATATTTCAGGTGTGCATAAACCCATATCATTATAAGAGAGTAGAGTCCCCTGTCATGCCTCCAGTTTTGGTTCCGCGGCATTCAGAGTTTGCACCAGGTGATTAAAATAGATTCAGAGTTCGCACCAGGTGATTAAAATAAATTTGTAACAGACTTGAAGATTTTCATCACTTGTACATACAGGGTGATTCACAATAATCTTGGATTACGCAACGAGAAACGGTCTAAGATATTTTAAAAAATCAAATTACATCCAAATGCTCGACATTTATTTTTTTTTAGTTTAACCTCCGAGGAAAGCCAATATGATTGGATCACTCGTGTAAGATCAAACAATTTGATAGATATATATATGTACTCATTCCTTGTGATTTTGTTGCTGTATATTAAACTATTTCAGGTCACTCTCTACTCCCCTATCAGCAGATACCTGAACCCAATATGCCTCATAATGTTTCATTTAACCAGGTAAATACAAAAGTAATCAGTGAAATATATTCATTAAAAATGGGAGTTTTTCGGATGTATGTACTAGTTAGAGAGACTTTAAAAGCCAAGTTTGGCAAAGAACCACCACCCACCCCTTCATGGAGCCATTGTATCCCTTTTGCGCGTTTTTGGCATTTAAAATCAATACTTAATTAGAAAAGGAAACAACACAAGCGAAATTTTGTTGATTCTTCGTCACGATTACGAACATGATTTAATATTTGCAATGATTTTATCAGTTGAACTAATATTTGCAATTTTATCAGTTGAACTAACATTTGCAATGATTTTATCAGTTGAAATAATCGCATTTAACATTTTACAATAAAATTATTTCTTTTTACCACTTTCTTCATGATTATAAATTAAGAATTAAAGATAATATTTCTTTCAACAGTTAATCCCTTGAAATGCCATTTGTAGCAACATATATATTCCTTTTCAGACATAGATAAACATATGAATTATATATTACTAGAATGGGTATCCTGGTCCCTATTCTCCCTAAAGTCCATATAATCCTATCTCATACAATTCTAGAATGGGTATCCTGTTTCTCATTGTCTAAATAATCCTGGACCACATAGTCCTATCTCATATATTTCTAGAATGGGTATCCTGGTCCTCATAGTCCATATAACCCTGGACCACATAGTCCCTTCTCAAATATTTCTAGAATGGGTATCCTGGTCCTCATAGTCCATATAACCCTGGACCACATAGTCCCATCTCAAATATTTCTAGAATGGGTATCCTGGTCCTCATAGTCCATATAACCCTGGACCACATAGTCCCATCTCAGTACCTAGTCCTGGCAGTACTGTATCAAACCATACAGGTATAGTAGGAATATTATATACATATTACTTCTTAATTCTTTGAAAAATATTATTCTTTTTTACAAACTTATAGAACAAAAGGGGGACTAAAAACTATGCTTGGTTCGTTTTTTCTTTCATTAGCTTTTTGGGATAAATATTTTACTTAATATTAAAAGCAAAAACAGGTTTACAACATCAGGATTGCAAATATATTGTGATAGTAGAATTGACTTAATGGCAAAGGGTCAATTCCTTTTTTATTTCAACTTATCTTCATTTATAAATTTAAGAATCAACAAATATACATTTATTTTTTAGGTAATCCACACTCTCCCTTCTCTCTAGGCCCTGAAACCCCTCCACCCGCCTATTCACCTCATGATGACGGTAGCAGCGGAGAGCGCCCGCCGGATGGATTAAATATGGAGACAGATAACAGTCCTCATGCTGAACCTGTACCTTACCAGGTAAAAATAAAGCCTAAAAACTTAGGAGTTAATCGCGATCAATATTAGTTCTATCTGATGTCCCTGCCTCAAGAGAAATGATATAAAACTGTATCCAAGTTATATGAAAACTCATATGTAAAGGGTGATTCTAAAAAAACATTCAAGATGTTAAAACTCAAAATTATGGAAAAACTTATGACAAAAACATCTCAACCGATCTTGAAAAGACAGATCAAGGTTTGTATTCAAAATACTCAGTAAGCCAGTGCTGAAGAAATTTTAAAGTGACCATGTTTCTAATGGAAAACCCATCATACAAACAACTTCTTAAGCTTCATATGTCATATTTAATACACATTCAAAAAGAAAGATTGGTTGGGTGGTAATTTGATAATCAATAACATGCGCATGAGTATGATTGAAGGCTGTGCATGTTCGTATTTTTAATTAAATTGTGGCATACATTTTAAAAATCTAGATTAAAGCCATAGTTTAAGTAATGGGAACAAAAAAATGAACCAAACTCAAATGGAAATACATTCTAAGGGGCTGAAATCTCCTTAAATGCTGAAAAAGAGATTTTCAACTCCTTGCTAAATTACGATCTTCCAACCACCAAAATGGCAAATGTTTGACTTTGAGAACTTTCTTAGTATTTTTAATGACTTGGCTGCCTAGCGAAAGTATTAAATGATACGAAAATTAAAAAAACGTGATTAATCCTGAATAAAGTTACAAAGAGAATTTGATATTGTAGACGTTTACTGGCTTTTATTCTTTGTCAACTACAGTTCGTATTAGTTAAAAATAGGAGTCAGGTCGATAAATGAGACTAATGAGTGATATAAAACATAAAGGTTATCTGCAAACCTCTAGAATGGTACATTTTTAATCTTTGAATTTTGGAGGAGACACAGGAGAACTAGGATATTCAGGACACATAGGAGAACTAGAATATCCAGGACACATAGGAGAACTAGGATATCCAGGACACATAGGAGAACTAGGATATCCAGGACACATAGGAGAACTGGGATATCCAGGACACATAGGAGAACTAGGATATTCAGGACACAAAGAAGAACTAGAATATCCAGGACACATAGGAAAACTAGGATATCCAGGACACATAGGAGAACTAGGATATCCAGGACACATAGGAGAACTAGGATATCCAGGACACATAGGAGAACTACAATATCCAGGACACAGGAGAATTGGGATATGCTAGACACATAGGATAACTAGGATATCCAAGACACACAGGGTAGCTAGGGCTTCCAGGAACCTGAGAACAAAGACGCTTCTCATTGTGGAACAGCTCTTCACGGACATGTTATGGAACCATTAGCGGAAACAGAGGATTCTGAGTATGGAGATGCCATTAATTGTGGAACAGCTCTTCACGGACCTGTTGTGGAACTACTACTAGCGGAACCAGAGGATTGTGAGTATGGAGATGCCACTCATTGTGGAACAGCCTTCACGGACCTGTTGTGGAACCACTAGCGGAACCAAAGGATTCTGAGTATGGAGATGCCATTCATTGTGGAACAGCTCTTCACGGACCTGTTGTGGAACCTGCTACAGAACCAGAGGATTCTGGGACAGGAGACATTGCTGTTTACGACAGCTCTTCACAGATCTATTGTAGAAAAAGTTGAGGAACAAGAGATCTTGATGCAGGAGACGCTGCTCCTTGTAGATAGCTCTTCACAGACCAGTTTCCAGTTCAGAAAAGAAAGCAGCTAGGAATGCCATGGACGCACCTAAGATTGTAGGTGCAGCTAAATTAGAGACTTTGGAAGAGAAACAGTAGCAGTTAGGTTTAAGTAGAATCAGCAAATGAACCAGCAGTTAATGTGGAAGCTGTTGTTGAGAGATTGCTATGAGATTGATATTGAAGTGGAGCAGCTAAAAGAGATAATGAGTTGAGGAAGCTTCTCAGATAGATGCTGAGCTTGAGCAACTCATAGTGCAAGACTCTAGGGACAGCTCAGGGTGCATCTCAGATTGTAAGTACGGCTAACATAGCTGAGACTATAGGAACAGCTCAGGGAGCAGCTCGGATTGAAAGTACAGCTAACATAGCAGAGACTCTAGAAACAGCTCAGGTAGCAGCTCAGGTTGTAAATACAGCTAACATAGCAGAGACTCTAGGAACAGCTCTGGGAGCAACTCAGATTGTAAGAACAGCTAACATAACATGGACTCAAAGAGCAGCTCCAGTAGTTAAAGAAGCAGCTGAAGATACAATAAGAGCATCCCAGATTGTAGGAGCAGCCAGATTAACAGAGACTGTGGGAACACCTGAACGAGATAGTGTAGTTAAGGAAACTGCTCAGACAGATCCTGCACTGGAGCAGCTGAAGATCTAAAGGAACTGATTAAAACATGAATAAACCTTACAGATGTATCTTATAAAAAAACTGTGAAACTGATCAATCCAAATTCATTTATACTCTGAGAGACATGTATAAAGAGGTTGTTAAAGGGATCGATACTAAAACAAGAGTACGGGGATCTAGAGTGAAATATTTGCATACGCCTAAACCATTTGTGCAAATGTTTGATCTAGAAAATCCCTAAGATTTACATCTGGCGTGTATTTGATTTAAGACAATAATCATTACATTATTCATTTTTATTCATGGCAGTACAGTATCTTGTAACATGGCTTGGTCTATATCACATGACCAGAATTGCCACCAATGGCCTTGCAGTATCTGGTTATGTAGGTCCGTCGACTATAGCTCGTATATATGAGTTTTCGTAAATCTTGGAGTTGTATATCAATTTCAGGAGTCAGGTAGTCATAGAACTATTATTGATCGCGATCAACGCCTACAAACGCCTATTACCCCTTTTATTTTACCTTAAGTTCATTTTCGTTAGATTACATGCCAGTCTTACATATTTTCAATCATTACTTCTAATGCTGAAGAGCTATCGAGGAAAAAGAAAATGTTTTGAACTTTGAAATGCAATCAAACAAAAAAAGCTTTCCTTAATACATGTTTTTAATGCTAGAGTAGCTACGAGGTCGCAAAGTCTTACAAGTAATGTCGCATAAGTTTGACATCAATGTGTTTAGAACTTAGGTGGTGATTTCTAAACTGGCTTAATAAAAAATAATTATTTAACAAAGATTTCACAAAAGCCTCTTGCCCTACCAAGGGAAAATTCCCACCTGTGTTTACCATTTGTTTAAAACCCTATTCCCACGTACATCCTATTAATACACACATTGAACATATTTTGTATACAGGAGCCCGTGTACTGGTCTAGTATAGCCTACTATGAGTTAAACAGTAGGGTAGGTGAGGTGTACCACGCTAACACTCATAGCATCATCATTGACGGGTTCACCAACCCTTCAAACAAAAACAACAACAGGTAGTTCATTACTTATAAGCTAGAAAATTCATTTCTTATGGTTATTACACTTTTTAAAGAAAACAAAATTTCTCAAATTCGGTTTTATTTTATTAGTTTATTAATTTCTACACATTTTTAAAACTATATTTTCGGCGTCGAAATACCAAGTTTTTGCAAAGGAATAAGTCTTTTATTTTTTGTTAAAATTCTAGATAAAAAAGAAAATTATTTAGATTTTGTCTGGGTCAGCTCTCAAATGTCAACAGAAACTCAACGATAGAGAACACAAGGCGGCATATAGGTAATTACAATAATTGCATTTATTGTGCATTTTTTCCACTTTGATAAAACTTCTTCCTTTTCAGTAGAATAAATTAATGGCATCTACGTGATACAGCTATTGTCAGATCTGCGCAGTTCAGCACTGTTTCTGCCAATTTGTTCATGTCATTCATTCGCATTTCTTAGTCAACTTTTTATTTAATACTTTTTTAAAGAAAATAAACGCTTGCCTCAAACTTTACTTTTCTGATTCCTACATCAATGTAACATGATTTCAAACTTTGACCACTTGATATAGTAGAATTAATAGCTACTTAAATTGTTAAAAGCCGAAGACATCAGGTTGCAATGAGAAAAGGATTGGAAAGTTTTTAGTTTGAGGCAAGTGTTCAAGTTTCTTTGTTTTATCGAACCTTCAAAAATCCTCTTTTGTTATATTTTGCCTGGATCCCGACTTCAATATTTATAGATAATTTTGGACTTGGATGGTCATAATCAAACTAAATGTTATGTACTGTACAGGTAAAGGTGTACACCTGTATTATGTTGGTGGCGAGGTGTACGCTGAATGTTTATCTGATTCTGCAATCTTTGTACAAAGTCGGAACTGCAATTACCATCATGGATTCCATCCAACCACAGTTTGCAAAATACCTCCTGGTTGCAGCCTTAAAATTTTTAACAATCAGGTATTATTCCTTTAAGATTTATGTACGTTTTTAAAGGGAGTGTTCGCGAAAAGTAAAAGGGGGTTTAGGATTACGGTGAAAAATAATCGCTTTTGATCGCTACTATCACCTTACTTCTATCTGTTGGAGCTCTAAGGAGAAAATTATTAAGAACGACTTATACTGAAGAACGTAGCTCCATACAAATTCAGAAAGTTGCAATGTACGACTCGTATCGTAAAGTTATAAATTTTATTTCAAACAAATAATTCAGATATCACAAACTAAAGTCATCTATTATTTTTCGACCCATTCGTATATAGTTAACATTTCATAATATGTGTTAATTGTTTTATATACAATGCACTGAACACAACTTTTTTCCACTAGATGTCTCTGCCACGTGAATCATTCAAAGCATCGAGTGCTGAGACATCTGGCGCGCGGCCAACTATTTCGGCGTTTTAAGTGCATTGTATACAGGAGAATATTGAATATTAACTATATTCGAATGCGTCAAAAAATAATCGTTGACTATGAATCTAAATGATTGGTTTGAAATTTTTTTTTTTTTTACGATCCGAGACGTATATTGCAACTTTCTGAATTTGTATGGACGCTGTACGTTCTTCAGTAGAAGTCGTTTTAACAATTTTCTCCTTAAAGACTCAACAGATAGAAGTAAGTTTAGTAGCGATCAAAAGCGATTATTTATCGCGCGTAAGCCTATACCCCCTTTCAATTTTCGCGAACGCTCCCTTTAAGCTAAAGCCGTTTATTTTCCCTGAATGGATCGAATGACCCAACTTTTTGTACCTACTGCGAGCTTTATGTATCGCTGGACGACTGTTTGACTTAATGACTTTATGTACCCCTTTGCTAGTTAATTGAACTGATCGTGATGTACTGACGACCACTGAAATATGGATCGTTCATGCAACAATTAGTTTCTAAACCTCTTAAAATGTGATTAATTACGATATAAAATTACTATGGACCTGTTAAAGTGTTGAAAGTTGGAATTAACTTAGATATTAAATGTCTTGAATTTTTTATGGTCAAAATTATGTCACTCTGAAAACGTCTCGACATCACACAGTATCCCAATTCTCAATGCGATTTTTTTCCCGCCTGTAAATCCTCAACAGGTACAAATACAAGCACAAAGCATTATTTGACTAAACTTTATAATCTTGGATTCGCCTTAACCCTGTGGAGCGTCTCCCGGCCCCCTCCCACCTTCGCATGGTAATAACACATTCTGTACCCCCCCCCCCCCCCCCCC